GGTGTGGCCAGAAAAGGGTGGTCTCCAGCCGCTGTTGGCAGCGAGTGCTGGGTCCACGAGAGGTAGCTTGCCCACACTGCTGGTGTCCTTGGCAAGTGTGTGACGGTGAAGACTTGCCGTTTGCCTTGCGGGGCAATGCAACAGAGCTCTGGCGTGGTTTGGGATGTGCAAGGCAGAGAGCTGTTGCCTCAGCCCTTCTCTGTAGACAGGTCCTTCAGCTGCCAAAAAGGCTGATTGCATCCTACTGAGGGACATGTGTGGCTGCTGAAACACCCATCCTTGCCACAGCTCCCTCCCTCCCCATCCCGCTCACCACTCTCCCTTCTTTTCAAGAAAGAGGACGGCACTGTGAACCGGGACTTCAAGAAGACACGGACAAAGGAACAAGTCACGGAAGCCTTCAGGGAGTTCACCAGAGGAAACCGCAACATTTTGGTGAGCAGGGGATGCTGCAGGGGCTGCCGGGAGAGGGCTCCTCCTGCAGAGGGTACCCTTGGCTCATCAGCTCCTTGCCTGAGGGGCTGAAGCCCAAGCAATCTCTCTTAAAAGAGCATGAAAAATGGCAAAGAGAAATGCCGTCCTGGTGGAGGGATGAGGGGAGAGCAGCAGAGGGCGGGGAGGGGACACATTTGCTGCAGCAGCACTGCTCGAGCCGGGTCCGAGTCCACTGAGGATGCTCGGGGACCAGCCTCAAAACCCACTGTGAAGGCCCAGCCGTGCTTTGCCCCCTCACCCCTGGGGCTGACAGCAGCCTCCAAGCCCGCCGTTTACCCCAGTATGCGAAGGTGCGGGCAGTGCGGGCTCCCACCCTGGCAGAGCAGGCGGCCCACGCTCGGACTCGCAGGACGGGTGGCCAGGTCATCCCCCTGCCTGCACCAAGCCCCCCTTCACATGGGCAAGCCCCAGTCAGCATTTCCCAAGTTCCTCTCTGTTGCCAGGAGGATAAGAGATGTAGCTGTAAACAATTTACACAACTGTGTCAAATATCCTATTTGACAAAGTGCTCCCATTTTAAGCTGTACCATAGAAACCCTACAAGTGCAAGGCTCCAGCTGGAGTGGCCCTGGGCACTGCCTCCTTCAGGTCAGCACATTTGTTTTGAGAGTAGTTACCCAGGGATTATTCCTGGCTCTGTAAATGAAGTTGCCTGGCTGCATTTTATCCATAAAGAGCTTGGAGCACACTCACACCGTCATGCCCGGGCTCTGGATGGGGCTCCTTGGCCAAACTATTGCAATACAGTGACCCCCCACATCTCCAACCGCAGTCAAAATGTGAAAATTTGGGTGTATTACAGTGCCCAGAAAGCTGTTGTGCATGTTCCTGGGCTTAGTCCTTCTGTCTAAACCTCAAAATCATTATCAAAGGGGGCCCCCTGAGAATGTTTAGTGCCTTCCAGCAATTTGCAGGGACGCTCGAACAGGCGCGTGGGTATGCTGACTGGTGTGAAAGCCCTTCCACCTGTGGTACCAACTTTGCAGAAGTGCTGATACGGAGTTACAGAAGCGTCTCACGATGCTTGACTGACTGAGTGATAAAATGACAGATGAGGTGAAGAGATGACCTATTAAAAAGGGTGCAGGTGAGAGGAAAAAAAGCAGCCTGGCTATGCATGCACAGCAGCGGCTGCTGAATTAGCCGTTCCCTCCTCGGGGCCACCATGGACGCAGCAGAGGAAGTCTGCAGAAAGCACCAGTTCAGCAAAAGCAAATGCTGTCGCTAAGTTTCGGAAGCCACAGCAGCTCAGAGGATTCTGTAGAGGCTAAAATGATAAGCGGATCCCAAAAAAGAGGGGACACCCTCCCAGGGGATAGGTCTGTGGGAGGATGCCTCCCGACATCTCTCCCTGCAAACATGGTGTCGTGGAGAGGGTGCTGGGAGGGGTGACTTTCCTGCCTGCCCCATGCAGCAGTTTTTATGGAACTGTAGCTTACCACAGTGCTGACGGCTTGTTTTTTTGGTGTTTTGTGTGTTGGTTTTTTTTTTTTTTTTTTTTGTAATTCCAGAACAGTTACCTTAACCGGTTGAAGGGTATCCGTGCTACCCTGGAGACATCCCCGTTCTTCAAGTGCCATGAGGTAATACTCATGTTTAGACAGATCTGCCTGGAAATGCGAACTCTTTAGTCTCAGCTTGTCCAAGGAGAGAGGTGGAGTCAAGTCAGAGGTCGTAATTCTCTACAACTTTGAATTTATTCTTATAGCTGTATTTTCATAACCCTGTTTTATCTAATACTCATGTGGAAATACAGCTGATGACTGATATAATGTTCACCCACCTGACATGGGCTCAAATCTAATAAAAACCACTGTTCATACAGATTAAAAGTTATCTAGGAGGAATTTGGGCTGCTTATGGGTTTATATGACTGGGAAAAATCCTTAGTGTGAAAGTATAGGGGTCTTCTGGAGAGAAATGCCCGTCTGAATTGCACGTCAGGTTTCATTTAGCTGCCAGTTGCTCCATGTGATCAAACAAGGCTACAGCATAGCCATAAATTGCAGATATCCCAAAACTGCCTTTGCTGAGCTGGCTGGGGCACCAACAGTAAGGACTCGTCCTTTGGAAGGACTTGCCTCCAGAAATGAGCGTCCAGAAAATCAACATCTTACGCCATGAAAATTCAGTTTTGGTGGGAAAGCAAAGAGGAAGCGCTACGGTTTTTGGCTGTTTCAGCCGGAATTGGAATGCTCCCTGATTTAATTAAATCATTTTATTGATTTAGCATTGGCAAAGAGTATTTGCTGTCGCATCTACTTAACAAAACACGAGAGCACATATCCTTGGCATGTGTTGTCTCCGGGCAAAAGAGCCTCGTAGGAACCCCCGACTCGCAGGGAGCGGGAGCCACAGCTCCAAGAGCCCGCTGTCCTGCAGCCGGAGCCGTGTGAGCCACCTCGGCCCCGGCCACACGCGGAGGGTCCTGCTGGGAGCTGGAGGCAGGTGGGGCCATGCCTCCTGACGGCAGCTCCTGTAAGGCGAGTGGAAGGGAAATGTCAAAACCGCGGGTTTCAGGTGAGTTGAACACGGGAAACAAAAACGCTCCCTGAAACCCAAGTGCCAGGGTTTCATTTGAAAACACGGAAACAAAACAGCCCTTCAACGGGGTTTTGAAAGGAGTTCCCACTCCTTAAAAATTAAAAAGCAGCAGCTTTGACTTTCTGTCCCATTTTGAGACGAAGCACAGCAGAAGGTCTGCCAAGCTCTGTGGGGCCCTCGCTGGTCACAGCTCCTCCAAGGAGCTGCAGGGGGAATTTGGTGACCCAAGACAGGCAAGTGAAGAATATCAGTGAAAGCCTTTTCCTTAAAGTTAAAACGCTCTGTCCTGGCCAAGAGAGGGCTATAAGAGCTTAGAAGGAGAAGAGCTAAAGATAAGCATTTCTGGGAAATAATACATTTATCTGGATCTTGGATGCTTTCCCAATGCGCTGGAGGAGGAAGGCTCCTGAAAAATGTAAATTCATAATAGCTTTTGCAAAGAGTACGTGCTTCCTGTGCAAAACCCTTGCCTAAAGACAAACCTCAGACTAAACCCCGGTAATAGTAGGGATGTGGGAGTCCCTGGTAACGTTTAGTGCTGCTGTTTTGGAGGGCTGACACCAGCTGGATGCCCCCAGGGCTGCACTCCTCCATGCGTCCATGTGTCTTGTGGGGTGTGGGCTGCTCCTGGCTCTCCGCACACGGCGTCCTCTCTGCTAACAGCTGTTGTGCTCTGGTCACCCGGGTCCCTATTTGTGATACAAGGGCAAGCGAGATCGTAATCCGCCAGTTCCTGAACATCGGACATAATTTGGAAAGCAATCTCTGCTTGGGACAGCTCTGAAGCATGGCTGTTGGTGCTTTTCTGTAGTGCCACCTGCTAAAATCTTCTGACCAGAGGAGCAGATTCAGCAGAAGAGCACGAGGGTGAATGACCTGACACCGACACATGTCCCCAGGCACTGGGAAGCTGCCTCAGAGCTGCTGCTTGGCGAGAGCCTGGCTGGGAATGTGAGCCGGGATGGGTCAGGGGCTGAGCTGGAGCAGCCCACCTGCTGAGCATCTCTCTGCTCCGTGGGTGGTGAGCATCGAGCTCATGGGGTCTCGTCCCACTGTGAGAGGCCTTGAGACTTCTGCTGTCAGGGATGATGTGCTTCAACCTTCCCAAATGCATCTGTGGGCTTCCCTGGGGCTTGCCCAGGCCAGTAGTCGCTGCAGGGTTTTCCCAAAGGCCAATCAGGCTGTGGAAGGCTCCTTCAAAGCAGATGCCGTTGAGTGAACTAATGGAAAAAGGAGATTCATGTACATTAAAAGCTGGACATGAGCGAGCAATGTGCGCTCTCACAGCCTGGAAGGCCAGCCATATCCTGGGCTGCATCCAAAGCAGTGTGGCCAGCAGGTCGAGGGAAGGGATTCTGCCCCTCTACTCCGATGTCCTGAGACCTCCCCCCCCGGCAGCGCTGTGTCCAGCTCTGGAGCCCTCAGCACAGGAAAGACATGGACCTGTTGGAGCAGGTCCAGAGGAGGGCCACAAAAATGACCAGAGGTGTGGAACACCTCTCCCATGCCAAAAGGCTGAGAGATTGGGGTTGTTCAGCCTGGAGAAGAGAAGGCTCCAGGGAGACCTTATTGCAGCCTTCCAGTACCTAAAGGGGGCTGATAAGAAAGACAGGGAGGGATTCTTTATCGGGGAGTGTAGCAATAGGGCAAGGGGTAATGATTTTAAACTAAAAGAGGGCAGATTTAGACTAGATATAAGGAAGAAATTTTTTACAATGAGGGTGGTGAAACATTGGCACAGGTTGCCCAGAAAGGTGGTAGATGCCCCATCCCTGGAGACATTCCAGGTCAGACTGGATGGGGCTCTGAGCAACCTGATCTAGCTGCAGATGTCCCTGCTCACTGCAGGGGTTTTGGACTAGATGACCTTAAAAGGTCCCTTCCAACCCAAACCATTCTGTGATTCTATGCACCTCAGCAACTTGCATCCCCAGAGCACTGTGAAAGCCAGGAGGATGTTCTAGGGGGAATCTGGGTGCAGTTGGGTGGCGTTTCAAACAGGAGACAGCACACTGCAAGTGACTTGTACTTGGAGCGTACTCATCCCTGCGGTGATGTCTGCAGGGCTGGTGAGTGTGAACAGCATGAGCTGGTCACAAAGAAGTGGCCTTGAAAAAAATCCCCATCTGAAGGCTGGGACAACTCATCTCACTCCTTCCCTGGGGACCTTGACTCGGTTTCCAAAACGACATCTCCATCTTTCGTGCCCATGTTTTTCTGATCCTCCCCTTCTGCCAAGAGCTGGCATTTGTAGGAGCAACTCGGCTTGTCCGAATACCTCCTTTGCATGTGCAAACACCGCCGGCAACACACAGAGCTTGCTTCTGCTCGTGCAAAACCTCAGCATCGCCTCTTGCAAATGCATCCTGAGATAAGGTGTCTGAAAGCCCTGAAGCTGGCTGAGAATGAGCAGTAGGAGCACTGCTAATTGCGCTCTCCTCTCCGCAGGTAATCGGGAGCTCCCTCCTCTTCATTCATGACAAAAAGGAACAGGCCAAAGTCTGGATGATTGACTTCGGGAAAACCACCCCGCTGCCGGAGGGACAAGTTCTCCAGCACAACGTGCCCTGGGTGGAAGGGAACAGAGAGGATGGCTACCTCTGGGGGCTGGACAACCTCATTCAGATCCTGACAGAGTTGTCCCAGCGTGAAGACTTGCATTAACGCCGCACGTCCGACTCTGCCACTACCCCCAACCTGCCCCCAACTGACTCTTCTGAACTGCACTACAAGACACTTTCCAGCCCTCGCCCTTCCCATTTGAAAGCTATATTCTCCCTATTTAAGGTGTTTTTGTTGTGGTTTTTTTAGGTTGTCTTGTTGGGGTGGTGGTTCCCCCCCGCCCCCGCCATGTAAATAGAGAGCTAACCTGCCAGAACAAAAGCTGACCTTGAACCCTTGGCTTCACGGGGTGGGTGAGAGCACACGGCCGTGCCGGCCGGGAGAGCCCGGCAGGGGTTGCTTGGGCAAGCGCGTGCTTTGCCTATCGCGCTTCTGTCTCTCGCGCAGCCTGAATTTAAGAGGGCCTTTGAGAGGGCTGACAGAGGAAGGAACCTCTCCTTGCACTGGGATCTGTAGCTTTATCCCAAAAATACTCGGCAGCTGTGCCCAAGGACCCTTTGGCAGCCAGGGTGCGTGAGCAAGGCGTGGAGATGGGAAAGGATACTGGGGGGACACCTTTAGTTCTCTTTGCCAGCACCTTTCACCCTAGGGATGACCTGGCTGGGCTGGGTCCTTAAGAGGTGCTAGAAGGGCAGATTTGGGTGGTGGTTTGTGTTCAAGACATCCCGTGGAGCTTGCTCAGTTACTTTCAGGTGGCAGCGGAGGGTGAGGGTTTCCCTCCTGCGTGGGGGCACGTGCTCAGGCACCACGGCCAGGTGCTTCCCATCCGCCTCCCCCGTGCTGGGTAACGCTTCGAGCTCCTCTCTAGAGACTCTGTTCCCCTGCTAGGAGCTGCTTCCAACCCTCCCTAGCTGGGGTCTCCAGCCCTCCATGGGGAATAAAGACTTTGGGCAAGGCTGGGGGAGAGAAAAACAGCTTATAAGGGACTACTATGAGACCTAAAGTAGCCATCCAGGTTGATCAGTCTTTTTTGGCAGCAGCCAAGCACCTGAGTAGAGGTAGCGCTGCCAGTGCCCGCACCTGGCCCAGCGTGGCCCTCCCGCCTGGAGCATCGCTGTAAGTTTTATCAGCGGCGGACGAAGGGTTACAGCAGCAAAGCAGCTCTCGAGGTGGCCAGGTTAGTCATCTTGTCGAAGCAGAGTTGGGGTCAGGCATCCCCATGCCTTCCCCTTTTTTTTTCCGCAGAGCTGGCTGACTCTGCCGCTGCTTTTCAGCGCTGGCTTCCCAGCCTGCCCAGGCTGCACGGCCAGCCTCCGTGCTCCCGCGAAAACACCCGCTTCCCTATTTAGGGTGGAAGCTATTTTTTAACTTCCTGGAACATTTGAACTAAGCGGCTTGCTTGCGGCAGAGCTGGCTCGCTAAAGGTCAGCCGGCGGGGAGGAGAGGCTGCAGGGCAAGGGAGTCCCTCGCCTTGAGGACAGAAGGCTCGTGCAGTGCTGGAGGTGGTGCCGGGAGCTCAACAGCCACGAATCCCTCCCCTGCTCCATCCCCAAACCCACCATCTCCTCCAGAGCCCCTCTGCCATCGTTCGGTAGGTCCAGCATCCTCGGTGGTGGAGGTCTTCTCCTGGCAGCAATAAGGAGGAGGAGTTGGCCATCGAGCCATCCGCAGCCATGCCCCAGCCTCTTCCCTGAGGACTGAAGTCTCCTAAGGTTTTTCTCAGTTCATATCTCACCAGACAGATGTCTTAGCTCATCTGATGCCATTGTAAATGGTTGCACTGTTTTAGCTCTTTGCCAGGCTTTCTAGAATAGCCCATGTGGAAGTGCCTTATAGACTTGCCTCTGTTCCATTAGTGTCATGGAAAAGGTTGGGGTTTTTTTAAGTTATATTTATTTTCATCCCATTTTAATTGCACAAAACACTAAAACTTAATGCATGGAATCCCTTTTTTTTTTTTTAACTGTGTTTTTCGTTTTTAAACCATCCCTTTTCCCGCTTTGGAGAAAGGGTGTGAACAGATATGCATAGGTATATACCAGTTATCGCTGTACTTTAGCTTCAAGCTGCTCTTATATATGTATATTATTTTTTAAGCCTGTTTATAAACCAGATTCCTTGCTTCGTGGCTTTGGAAGAAGCAAATCAGATGTCTTATGCCTTTCTGGAGGCTGGAACGGTTGCTGTGAGGGATTTTCCCCACTCCCACCTCCCTCCTCGGTCATTGGGTAACACAAAGAAAAATCCAAACTGGTCTGAAACACCAACGCACAGTGCCTGTAAAAAAATCCTGTAACTTTGCAAATAAAGGCATATGGGAAGCATTCGCCTGGTGTATGGTCTGCGTCCGCCCCGCGAAGCTCGTGGCAGCCTGGGAGCAACCCAGGAGCCGGCTTTTGTGTCCATGATGATTTTGGGGGGATGAGGCGGCAGCTTTGGTTACCCCAGCACACGCCAGGAGCCCCGCTGTGTAAAAGCAAGAGTAGGGGAGGACCCTGCGCCGGGGATGGATCCCGACAAACGGGAACTGGCTTTGCAGGGAGCCGGGCAGGGCGAGAGCGGAGCCAGGGCTGGGGGGGGTGGGGAGGGCCCCCCCCAGGAGAGACCTGAGTTTCTCCATCCCCCTTCCGTAGGGAAGCCCACCAAAGGCAGCTCCCCATCGGGAATTTTTTCAGTCTTCCCGTTTTTCGCCAGCGCGACGTTGCGGCTCCCGCTGAGCGGTTTCCGAGTGCCACCCTGCGATTTCTGTGCTCGGGGACGTCCACGCACCCGGGGGCATCGGAGCTGCCTGGCACAGCCGCACGCCTCCCCTGCTCCTCTCCCTCAGCCGCACCGCGGGCAGTGCCAAGGGGAGCGCTTGGGACCAAAGGCCACGAAAACGAACCCGGATTGGTTTTGCACTGAAGGAGAAATCGGGTTGTAGAGCCAGAAGGCAGCTCCAGCCCCTCCTGGGAGCCTGTCTGGGGGCGGGTGGGCTTCCCTGTA